CACGTGACACACACACCTACTACACGTGACACACACCTACTACACGTGACACACACCTACCACACGTGACACCTACTACACGTGACACACACCTACTACACGTGACACACACCTACTACACGTGACACACACCTACCACACGTGACACACACCTACCCACCCGTGACACACACACGTGACACCTACCACACGTGACACCTACCACACGTGACACCTACTACACGTGACACCTACTACACGTGACACCTACTACACGTGACACCTACTACACGTGACACACACCTACTACACGTGACACCTACTACACGTGACACCTACCACACGTGACACACACCTACTACACGTGACACCTACTACACGTGACACCTACTACACGTGACACCTACTACACGTGACACCTACTACACGTGACACCTACTACACGTGACACCTACTACACGTGACACACACCTACTACACGTGACACCTACTACACGTGACACCTACTACACGTGACACCTACTACACGTGACACCTACTACACGTGACACACACCTACTACACGTGACACCTACTACACGTGACACCTACTACACGTGACACCTACTACACGTGACACACACCTACTACACGTGACACACACCTACTACACGTGACACACCTACTACACGTGACACACACACCTACTACACGTGACACACACCTACTACACGTGATACACACCTACCACACGTGACACACACCTACCACACGTGACACACACCTACCACACACCTACCACACGTGACACACACCTACTACACGTGACACACACCTACCACACGTGACACACACCTACCACACGTGACACCTACCACACGTGACACCTACTACACGTGACACCTACTACACGTGACACCTACTACACGTGACACCTACTACACGTGACACACCTACTACACGTGACACACACCTACTACACGTGACACCTACTACACGTGACACCTACCACACGTGACACACACCTACTACACGTGACACACCTACTACACGTGACACACACCTACACACGTGACAACACATACTACACGTGACACCTACTACACGTGACACCTACCACACGTGACACCTACACACGTGACACCTACTACACGTGACACCTACTACCGTGACACCTACTACACGTGGACACCTACTACACGTGACACCTACTACACGTGACACCTACTACACGTGACACCTACTACACGTGACACCTACTACACGTGACACCTACTACACGTGACACCAACTACACGTGACACCAACTACACGTGACACACACCTACTACACGTGACACACACCTACTACACGTGACACCTACTACACGTGACACACACCTACTACACGTGACACCTACTACACGTGACACACACGTACTACACGTGACACCTACTACACGTGACACCTACTACACGTGACACCTACCACACGTGACACCTACCACACGTGACACACACCTACTACACGTGACACACCTACTACACGTGACACACACACCTACTACACGTGACACACACCTACTACACGTGACACACCTACCACACGTGACACACACCTACCACACGTGACACACACCTACCACACGTGACACACACCTACCACACGTGACACACACCTACCACACGTGACACACACCTACTACACGTGACACACTACCACACGTGACACACTACCACACGAGACACACACCTACCACACGTGACACACACCTACTACACGTGACACCTACTATACGTGACACCTACTACACGTGACACACACCTACTACACGTGACACACACCTACTACACGTGACACACACCTACTACACGTGACACACACCTACTACACGTGACACCTACTACACGTGACACCTACTACACGTGACACCTACTACACGTGACACCTACTACACGTGACACACACCTACTACATGTGACACACACCTACTACTACACGTGACACACACTACACGTGACACACACCTACTACACGTGACACCTACTACACGTGACACACACCTACTAGACGTGACACACACTACTACACGTGACACACACCTACTACACGTGACACACACATACTAGACGTGACACCTACTACACGTGACACACACCTACTACACGTGACACCTACTACACGTGACACACACCTACTACACGTGACACACCTACTACACGTAACACCTACTACACGTGACACACACCTACTACACGTGACACACACCTACAACACGTGACACACACCTACTACACGTGACACACATACTACACGTGACACCTACTACACGTGACACCTACTACACGTGACACCTACTACACGTGGACACCTATACACGTGACACACACCTACTACCTACACGTGACACACACCTACTACACGGTGACACCTACAACACGTGACACCTACTACACGTGACACCTACTACACGTGACACATCCTACTACACGTGACACCTACTACACGTGACACACACCTACTACACGTGACACACACCTACTACACGTGACACACACCTACTACACGTGACACACACCTACTACACGTGACACCTACTACACGTGACACACACCTACTACACGTGACACACACCTACTACACGTGACACCTACTACACGTGACACCTACTACACGTGACACCTACTACACGTGACACCTACAACACGTGACACACACCTACGACACGTGACACACACCTACGACACGTGACACACACCAACTACACGTGACACCTACTACACGTGACACACACCTACTACACGTGACACACACCTACCACACGTGACACACACCTACCACACGTGACACACACCTACCACACGTGACACACACACCTACCACACGTGACACACACCTACCACACGTGACACACACTACACGTGACACCCACTACACGTGACACCTACTACACGTGACACACACCTACCACACGTGACACACACCTACCACACGTGACACACACCTACCACACGTGACACACACCTACCACACGTGACACACACCTACCACACGTGACACACACCTACCACACGTGACACACACCTACCACACGTCACACACACCTACTACACGTGACACCTACTACACGTGACACCTACTACACGTGACACCTACTACACGTGACACCTACTACACGTGACACCTACTACACGTGACACCTACTACACGCGACACACACCTACTACACGTGACACCTACTACACGTGACACCTACTACACGTGACACACACCTACTACACGTGACACACACCTACTACACGTGACACACACCCACTACACGTGACACACACCTACACGTGACACACACACCTACAACACACACACCTACTACACGTGACACCTACTACACGTGACACACACACCTACAACACGTGACACACACACCTACTACACGTGACACACACACCTACTACACGTGACACACACACCTACTACACGTGACACCTACTACACGTGACACCTACTACACGTGACACACACCTACTACACGTGACACACACCTACTACACGTGACACACACCCACTACACGTGACACACACCTACACGTGACACACACACCTACAACACACACACCTACTACACGTGACACCTACTACACGTGACACACACACCTACTACACGTGACACCTACTACACGTGACACACACACCTACTACACGTGACACACACACCTACTACACGTGACACCTACTACACGTGACACCTACTACACGTGACACCTACGACACGTGACACCTACGACACGTGACACCTACTACACGTGACACCTACTACACGTGACACCTACTACACGTGACACCTACTACACGTGACACCTACTACACGTGACACCTACTACACGTGACACCTACTACACGTGACACCTACTACACGTGACACCTACTACACGTGACACCTACTACACGTGACACCTACTACACGTGACACCTACTACACGTGACACCTACTACACGTGACACCTACTACACGTGACACACACCTACTACACGTGACACACACCTACTACACGTGACACACACCTACTACACGTGACACACACCTACTACACGTGACACACACCTACTACACGTGACACACACCTACTACACGTGACACACCTTTACTAGACCAGGGACAAATCCACGCCCGTTAGTCCACTACACCGTGGCGGACGACCACCGCAGAGATCTGAGACTGAGAAGAATTAGTAAAAAAAGAGCTTTATAGCTCATCGGATTCCTCCGGTAAACACAAACCCTCTCATTCTGCCCGAGGAAAGGGCGATGTTGATGGCGTTAGGTTCACGTTGTAGCAGCAGCAGCAATCGACGGGCGTAGCGTTTGAATGCCCTTCCATCCAGCAGTGGATTGGGTGATGATGATGAAGATGATTTAGGATGAGATCGGTTCACGTGTGGCGAATGCGCTGCGAGGTTGGGAAGGGATGGGAGAGTAGCAGGCAAGGGTGGTGGATCTGTTGAGGCATGGAATTGGGGCGTTGGTAAGGTTCGCCGAGCATCATCCAGCAGTGGATAGACCCAGGGCAGATTAAAGGAGACAACACGCAGAGAGAGAGAGAGGTTGGCGTGGCGCTCGATCGATGTCTTGTGCGGCGTAGCGGCGAGCGGGCGAGACCGAACCCAACGTTAGCGGTTCGTTCTTTTCGATGCGTTCGATCGTTAATCTCCGGACGCGGCAGTTCAAAGCATGTGGTGGGTGGTGTGGTGGTGGGTGGGTGGTGGTGGGTGGGTGGGTAAGAGGAGGACGAGGAGGTTGTTAAAAAAAATTGTGTTACGACTTTACAGGGGTGGGGGGGGGGTGGAGAAACGCACGCCGGCCTCGCCTGAAACCTCCTGCCGCGAGCCTGCGCTAGGCCGCCGGCAGGGCAGGGCGGGGACGACGGTGAGCGCGGGTGGGTGGTTGTTGTGTGTGGGGGGGGGGTGGGGGTTGGGTTGAGATTGCCGCCACCCCCTCCGCCCCCCACGCCGTTCCCGAACTGGGGGGGGGGGGGGTTCGCGCCGGGCCCCCTACGCCAACTTACCCCCGGGTCCCCCCGAAGGAACGAAAGGCCGAGAGACGCCGCAGCCACCGCCGCCGCCGCCGCTATGGAGTCCGTCGTTGCCGGCGGTAGTCGAACGGCAGGGACATGGAGGAGCCTTCAACTCGCACAGAGAGAGAGAGAGGCGCGGGGTGGGATGGTGGGGGGGGAGGGAGGGGCGCGGTTGGAAAGGGGGCGGGGCGACGTGGAAGGAGGCGGAGCGCGGTGAAAGAGGGCGGAGCGGCATGATGGGTGGGCGGGGTGGAGAGGGCGAAAGGGGGCGGGGTGGGGTGTAAAGGGGGCGGGGTGGGACGGGGTGGAGGGGGAGGGGGACGTGGGTCGCGAGGTGGGGAAAACTCCCCACGGTGGAGGCGATTGCCGCGTCTCTCGATTGGTTGAAAAGGCGCGCACGTGACCCGAATTCGGGACAGCGTTCGCTCGGGGGAGGGGCGAGCGATTCCGCTGTCTCCCGATTGGTCGAGAGGCACGCACGTGACCGCGTTCCGCTGTGGGTGCAGCAGCGTTAGCTGGGGGGGGGGAGGGGATTCCACGTCTCCGATTGGTCGAGAGGTACACACGTGATCACGACCTGCTGTGTGTGCAGCAACGTTAGCTGGGGGGAGGGGATGGAGTGGGTGATTCCACGTCTCCGATTGGTCGAGAGGTACGCACGTGATCACGACCTGCTGTGTGTGCAGCAACGTTAGCTGGGGGGGAGGGGATGGGGTGAGTGATTCCACGTCTCCGATTGGTCGAGAGGTACGCACGTGATCACGATCTGCTGTGGGTGCAGCAACGTTAGCTGGGGGGAGGGGATGGGGTGGGTGATTCCACGTCTCTGATTGGTCGAGAGGCACGCACGTGATCACGATCCGCTGTAGGTGCAGTAGCGTTAGCTGGGTGGGAGGGAGGTGGGTTAGCGATTCCGCTGTCCCCCGATTGGTCGAGAGGTGTGCACTGACCGCGATCACAGTTCCTATGATTACTGTTACATTGCATTTATGGATTTATTTTGGTGATTTCTAAAAGTTTTTTGGTTTGGCCATGTTTTTGTTTATTTGTAGTACGGAGTTAGACTGTGGCCTTAATCTAAGTTTTCTTTTTTATTTAAAGCTTTCGTGACTGCAGTAATTCATATTCTTAGCTCTTTCGGTAAAGTCACGTTGAAGGGAAACAATAAAATAATAATATATAAAACAATAAAAATCTCACGACGTTTCGACCATAACACAAACGGTCATCATCAGGTGTGAAAAACCAACGGCAAGAAATATTTGAAAGAAGTGGCGGTTCGCATTTATTATTTTATTTTCAAACGGTGTTTGTATTTATTTGTTTAAAAAAAACGTTAGCACCAAGGGCAGCGATTTGGCAGTCTGTTTAGAAGGACGAGTCCATCTATGTTCTGAAAAGAGGAGGGGGGAGACGAAAAATTAATGTATGCTGTCTGAAAGCCACCGTAAGCGTGAACAATCAATTAAGACCTGAAATGGTTGATCAAATCCTTCCAATGATTGCTAAGCCAGAATCCATCTTCTCGGTTGAAATTATCTCTGTGCTTGTATATGTGGATAGCCTCATGAACGATTCTCTCATGGTAGCCAGATGGCTTACAAAGAACCTCTGTCTTGGAGAAGTCAATGTCATGTGAGCCTACTGAATTATAACAATGATCTGCCACGGCCGAGGTGTTGGACCTAACGTGTTTAATGTCTGCTTTGTGTTCATGAATGCGGTCCGAGACATAGCGTTTGGTTTCTCCAATGTAACTACTACCACAGAGGCAACTTAGTTTGTAGACACCAGGGTACTGTATGTCCGGAATCACATCTCAACTTGACTCCTATGTGTGTGTCGTGGTGAAATCTTGTCATCGAAATTTAGTCCACCTGTTGTCCAATCAATTCCTAAATTTCGTACACGCACTCAGATCCGGTGACAATGCATGCCTGTAACAAAATCGGCATCAATCAATAAATAAATTCGCTACTTTAAAGCAATTAACATTTTCAATGGACACCTTGCTATTTTTATATATATTTGTGTAGGTAAAAAAAACGCCGCAGTTCCTAAACTTTCGAATCGCCACGCCCAAGAAGCAGGCGCCACGTGTCTCAGGCGCTCCTGTCCCGTGTGAACGAGTTACAAGCACCCTCACTCCACACAAACAAAAGTTGTACAAATTTTGATTTAAAGCTTTCGTGACTGCAGTAGTTCCTATTTTTTTATATAAATATTCTATGTATAAATTTATTTATAAATAAACTTATGCAAACCGACACACCTGATGACGACCGTTTGTGTTATGGTCGAAACGTCGTGAGAATTTTTTTTATTGTTTTATATATTTTTTATTATTTTATTCTTTCCCTTCAACGTGACTTTACCGAAAGAACTAAGAATATAAAAAGTTGTACACTGAAGATTCATTTTTAAAGTAATCAATTAATCCAAGTAAGCGTTGACGTGGAAGCAGGCACCGCATCATTGACGTACTCCTCCACCGTCAGTTGAACGAAGTTGTTAATAACACCGTTTTTTTAAAATAACTGTTTTTAAGGAGCTTGTTTCTACTTGGGCTTGTCTGTAAAGTCGGTAACGCAACCTTCCGATCGGTCGACAGCCATCTCACCTGATCCGATATATATCGATCCGATATATCGGTGGGTGCTCGCGATGGACGGTGACAGCCAATCAGAACTAAGGCTTCAAAAGGGCTCACCCCACATTACTTGCAGGCACCTGATACATTTATATATTCCATCAAGGTCCTTAAGATCTTCCGATCTTCAAGTGCTCGGCATTCCCAGGTCTATAGGTTGCTCTCTTTTTGTGATCGGTGCTTTTTGTGAGCGTGGCACCCACAAGCTGTGGAACGCCTCGCCACTTGACATCGGGACAATCGGAGTCGGTAGACATTCATAGTCTGCTTTGAAAACCCCATCTCTTTAAAGTGGCCTTCTTCCCACTTTAGTTTGGGTTGGTTGCCCCTGGTGGTGCTGGTTTTGTTTCCTGCTTTTTCATGCGTTGCGCATTTTTGATCCTAGGATGGAATATCAGCGCCGTATATTTGATGAATTAATATAATGATCGTTAAATAATTAATTAAAATGGACTCTGTGGCACGCGGTCCACCCCCCCCCCCCCAGATTGCCTCACGTGATCTCTGTCAGCCAATCGCAACGAGGCATATCCTTGTGCGGTGCACCGGAACCAGAAGCGGTGTGGGGGATTCGCGATTAACAAACGACAGCCAATCAGAACTCTGTGCACGCGGGGGCCTCCCCCACCCCAGCTTGCCTCACGTGATCTCCGACAGCCAATCGCGAGGAAGTTATAATGTGCAGTGTCGGTTAGTGACGTAAAAAAGCGGGGGGTGAGGGGGGGGAGATGGATGAAGGGGTGGGGCCGTGGGGGGAGGAGCGGGGCAGGTGGGCGAGGCAGGGGGAGGTGGGCGGGGCAGAGGGAGAGGTGGGCGGGGCAGAGGGAGAGGTGGGCGGGGCAGAGTGTCAGGTTGGTCACGCCGACGTCACCCCGTTTAATACACTTACAGGTAACCCCCCTCTTAACTATAAGAGCAAATTACATTTTACATCAAATCCTCCTCACCGCCCATTCTTCTCTGCACGTCTCTCGCCACACCGATTTCAACGCTTTTATTATTTTTACTTTATTATTATTATTTAAAAAATTTCGATCTGCGTGACTTTACCGAAAGAAACCAAGAATACGCAGTCCACTCGTTAAAAACGCCAGAAACTAAACGTGTCCTCCTCATTCTATGCAAACGAGACACCCCTTGTTCTCTTGGCTTCCCACCCGGGTCCATAGAACACGTCGACGAGCGGCAGACTTTAGACTCCGCGGTGCACACAGGGGCACCCTCTTGGTTACCACGAGCGTCACGAATAATTGTGTCAATGACAACAAAGGCCTTCATCCAGCAGTGGATTGACCCTGGCTGCTATGGTGATGATGGTGGTGGTGATGGCTGAGAGAGGCATTCATCCAGCAGTGGATTGACCCTGGCTGCTATGGTGATGATGGTGGTGGTGGCTGAGAGAGGCATTCATCCAGCAGTCGATTGACCCTGGCTGCTATGGTGATGATGGTGGTGGTGGAGGTGGCTGAGAGAGGCATTCATCCAGCAGTCGATTGACCCTGGCTGCTATGGTGATGGTGGTGGTGGAGGTGGCTGAGAGAGGCCTTCATCCAGCAGTGGATTGACCCTGGCTGCTATGGTGATGATGATGGTGGTGGTGGAGGTGGCTGAGAGGCATTCATCCAGCAGTGGATTGACCCTGGCTGCTATGGTGATGATGATGGTGGTGGAGGTGGCTGAGAGAGGCATTCGTCCAGCAGTGGATTGACCCTGGCTGCTATGGTGATGGTGGTGGTGGCTGAGAGAGGCCTTCATCCAGCAGTGGATTGACCCTGGCTGCTATGGTGATGATGGTGGTGGAGGTGGCTGAGAGAGGCATTCATCCAGCAGTGGATTGACCCTGGCTGCTATGGTGATGATGATGGTGGTGGTGGAGGTGGCTGAGAGAGGCATTCATCCAGCAGTGGATTGACCCTGGCTGCTATGGTGGTGGTGGTGGAGGTGGCTGAGAGAGGCATTCATCCAGCAGTGGATTGACCCTGGCTGCTATGGTGATGGTGGTGGTGGAGGTGGCTGAGAGAGGCATTCATCCAGCAGTGGATTGACCCTGGCTGCTATGGTGATGATGGTGGAGGTGGCTGAGAGAGGCATTCATCCAGCAGTGGATTGACCCTGGCTGCTATGGTGATGATGGTGGTGGTGGTGGAGGTGGCTGAGAGGCATTCATCCAGCAGTGGATTGACCCTGGCTGCTATGGTGATGATGGTGGTGGTGGTGGAGGTGGCTGAGAGGCATTCATCCAGCAGTGGATTGACCCTGGCTGCTATGGTGATGGTGGTGGTGGAGGTGGCTGAGAGAGGCCTTCATCCAGCAGTGGATTGACTCTGGCTGCTATGGTGATGATGATGGTGGTGGTGGAGGTGGCTGAGAGAGGCCTTCATCCAGCAGTGGATTGACCCTGGCTGCTATGGTGGTGGTGGAGGAGGTGGCTGAGAGAGGCATTCATCCAGCAGTGGATTGCCCCTGGCTGCTATGGTGATGATGATGGTGGTGGAGGTGGCTGAGAGAGGCATTCATC